GGCTGACTCGTCAGAGCGTTCGTTTGTCATCTTGATTCCCGAGGAGCCCGGCGACCGCGTATGCGCGCCCTTGCTGCCACAACCACCCATGATGTTCTCTTCTTCTGTTCGCTCTAAATATCAGCCCCTTTAAAACCTGCCGAAGAAGGTACGCGGTACGCCACGCAACATAACTCACCGACCGCTGCCGACATGTTTTGTTGGCCCGTTTTACCACCCGTTACCTTTCCTCCCCATCTCTTTTATGACAAGCAGAGTGGCGCAGTGGAAGCGTGGTGGGCCCATAACCCACAGGTCGATGGATCGAAACCATCCTCTGCTAATTCCTTTTTGCTTTACGACTTGATATGGGTGGTGTTACAACTAGAAGAGAGAAAGAGTGCCTGAGCCGCCGATTGCGTCCACGTAGGTGTAGGCCGGGTAGTGCGATGTGGAGGAGTTGAGCTTGGGAACGGCGGGAAGCGAGCCACTGATCAAGCCCCAGGCATCCACCACCACAGGACCCGTCTTGGCAAAGGGTATGCGCGTCACTTGCCACTGTGACAGTGCGCCGGCGGCCCTCGTCGTGTGAGCAGTGGTGGTGGTTGGACGCCCGCATCGTGCACGATTAAGTGAAGCGTACCTTGGCCTGAACGGTGCTGCCCGGTTGGAGGGTGCCGAGGTCGAGCGTGAGGCTGCCCTTGCTGAGCGGGAGGTTGGGCGGCAGGGTTATGCGGGCGGTCACGTTCGTGGCCACGAAGGCAGCTACCGCCTTCTCCCCGGCGGTGACGGGGCAGAACGGCTCCGGGCAGGTGTAAGTGATGCTGGCGACCATCGTGGCAAGGTTGTTGCCCTCCTTGTGTTGCTCGATCTGCTCGCATTAACCCAAGAATCAACATTGTGCGACCTCACCCAACATAACGATGCGCGTCACGAAACAGAGACGGACCTGGATGCGCCACGGCGCGACGATGGCGGCAAAGTTGGGCGGGTAGGTGGCGTTGGCGAGGCGCTCGACGTAGGCCCACAGCCCACAGAAGACCTCGTAGGAGTACTCCACCTCGCGCGGCACGCCGTCCCGGTCCCACGGGTCGAGCAGCGTCACCCTGCGCGACCGGTCATCGTACCCCACCAGCACCCGGTAGTGCCCTGCACTCACACGACACACGACACCACACACGACACGCGTCAGTACCACATTGACGACTCCCCCACGGGGAGGCGGCGCACGAGACACACCGTCGAACGGAACGTCGCCAAGCTCCATGAGAATGATGGCGGGAATGTCCTGTGCGATGGCGGCCTTGAGCTCGTCGAGCCAGCAGGTCATCCGTCGATGGCCAAAGGCGCCGAGGCCCAGCTGGTCGGGCCACCTCTTGCAGTCCCACCCGCGTGTGGGCGCCTGCTCGGGGAACTGGCGCCCTTGCGCCCCGCTCATGTGGCTGAACTGTCCGCCGCGCACCATGTCGCCGCTGAACGTGCCCAGGGCCTCGGAGGTGCGCAGGACGTCCATGATGGCCCTCTGATCCAGCTCCTCCCCCGTCGCGTGCCCCATCGCCATCCCTGCAGATATGTGTGGTGACGTCAGCACTCGAATACAAGCGACCAATACTGTAGCCGAGAAGAGGGGGAGGGGCACCAAAGGAAGCAGCCCCGCAGGAGTACTCGGTCAGCTGACGGTGGTAGGGGACGTTTTTGATTCGATGCGCCTCGGGAATACCGACCACCGATAGCGGAAGCGAGAGGCAGCCCAACAAGAAGACCGCCACAAGCACCAGGCTCTGCCGCATCTTGAATCAGAATACAAACACCAGGACCACCGGAACTAAATTAAAATAAATCAATTTATATGTAGGAGTTTCTTTTATTGCTTCAGTCCGCTTGTGATTGGCCACACGAATAAAAGAAAAAGGAATTAGCAGAGGATGGTTTCGATCCATCGACCTGTGGGTTATGGGCCCACCACGCTTCCACTGCGCCACTCTGCTTTCCGGCGACAAATGCAGACAAAGTCAGGGGCGAGCGGTGTAGGACTCCGCCGAACATGTAGCGGGGCCGATGATCCTATGGTGGTTCGCCGATATTCTTGCGGTGGTGCCTGGCGTCTGGCGTGGTGGCCAAAGGCCTTCTTGATAGCACAAGATGAAGCACATGACCCCACGCAGCCTGATGCCCAGCCGGCGAGCTGGTTCGTTGCGCCACACGACCTCACCCTCGTTTTCTCCCGCAACGCTGCTCTCCCTCCACCGGAGCAGCAGCTTCAGCCGAAGATGGAGCACCTTCAACAACGGGCTGGTCGAGGGCTTCCCCGGTGCTGTGGGCAACACCCCCCTCATCAAGTTGCGAGGATTGAGCGAGGAGACCGGGTGCGAGATCTTGGGCAAGGCCGAATTCATGAAGTACGCAACTCTTTTCCTCTCTTCATCAATTGAAGCCCATCTTCATCTTTGTCAATCTCCCTCCCCTATCCTAATATGCAGACTTTTAGGAAAAAGGAACAACATATTCGTTTATTAATATGTTGACGATATGTTGGGCAGCCCTGGCGGGAGTGTGAAAGACCGAGCGGCGCTGTACATTGTGCGCGATGCCGAAGAGAGGGGTCTCCTCACCAAGGGCGGCACCGTGGTGGAAGGAACCGCCGGCAACACCGGTAACACCACTTGCCCTTCTCCATCGTCTATCCAGTGCGTTCTGTCGTGTGCCACGTGTCTCAAGCGTGTCGTGTGTCGTGTGTGTGGTGTGTGTCGTGTCGTGCCCTGGCCAGGAATTGGTTTGGCGCACATCTGCAAGGCGCGAGGCTACAAGTGCAAGATATTCATGCCCAACACGCAGTCGCAGGAGAAGATCGACCTCCTACGATCCCTCGGTGCCGGTACTTAACCCTCCCCCTTCTCCTCCTCTAGGGCTTCGTTGCTCACTCACGCCGATTGACACAAACTCACATCTTCTCTCTCTCTCTCTCTCTCTTGCAGAGGTCATCCCCGTCCCCGCCGTGGCCTACGATGTACGTTCTTCTTCTTTCTTGGCCGCAGCACCATAATGTAAGGAAGAATGTACATCGTGTGGGCTAATGGTTTGACAATGTTGACAACGTCGTCGTCGTCGTCGCACCAGAATCCGGCCAATTACAACCACCAGGCGCGAGACTTTGCCCAGGCCACCCCGAACTGCGTGTGGACGGACCAGTTCGACAACGTGGCCAACCGCTACGGCCACTTCTCCACCACGGGACCCGAGATCTGGTTCCAGACGCAGCACAAAGTCGACGCCTTCACCTGCTCGGTACCGTCGCCTCCTTCCTCGTTCCCCAGTCCCAGTCCTAACGGCTCGGCGGGTGCGTCCAGACCGGTACAGGAGGGACCCTGGCCGGTGTCGGCCTCTTCCTCAAGCAAAAGAAGCCCTCCATCAAGATTATCCTAGCCGACCCTCCGGGATCCGTCCTCTATTCGTGCGTTCCCGTCATTGTGCCACGCACACGCGCACACCGCACACGCGCGCGACACGCACACGCACACGCACGCGCGCACACCGGCCGACTCTGAGTGACTGACCGGTGAGCAACGCTGGGTACCTGGACAGGTACGTGAAGGAGGGGAAGTTGGAGCGAGAGGGCAGCTCGATCACGGAGGGCATCGGACAGGGCCGCATCACCAAGAACCTCAAGGACGCGCCGATCGACGACGCCATACAGATCCCCGACGAAGAAACAAGTGCGCACCCCATTTAACCCCCACTTTTCGTGTTCGCCTTGGTGTGTCGCGCTCATCGACAGTGATCTGACCATAACTTTCTTCGTAGTGAGCATGTTCTTCCGCCTGCTGGACGAAGAGGGCCTGTTTGTGGGCGCGTCGGCTGCGCTCAATGTGGTGGCGGCCGTGAAGGTGGCCAAGAAACTGGGGCCTGGCCACACGGGTACCGCCTCCTGCCTCCCTTTCGTTCTGTATCGCCCAGCCCGCCCTTGTTGTTAAACTTTACGCTTTGCTTCTCCTCCGCAGTGGCGACGGTGCTGTGCGACGGTGCGCAGCGGTACTACTCGCGGCTGCTCAACAAAAAGTGGCTCGACGAGAAGAAGCTCCTCCACACCCTTCCTGACAAGTACCTCCAATTCCTCCATTGAACAGCATCAACTGCACCACCACCAACAACAACAGACGGCCATCCAAGCTTGTTGAAAGAGTTATCGTTCCTACGGTTGTCTTTTTCAGCCTTGGCGTAGGCGGTCGCTTGACTAACGGGGACGGACTTAGTTGCCGGTGGAGACGGTGATCATCTTGAACTTGTGCGAGGGCTTGTGGGAAGTGTTGGTGGCCGGTGGCGGCGCGCAGTCGTGGTGACAGCTCTCGCACAGGTCGTAGTTAAGGCACGACGTGCACTTGTACACCACCGGCTTGATCGGGAACAGCGCACAGACCGCACTGTTTTTTTGTTGATCGTTCAGTTTGGTGTTCGTTGTCATTCGCACTCCACCGAAGAAATCAACACAACCATTAGGTACCATTTGAACTGGTCGTAGTTGCTGCTATCGACGATGATGTCCATGTTGTGGTTCGCCTTGTGGTTGCGCGGCTCCTTGCGCAGGAAGAAGCACTTTTGGCCTGTCGTTTGGAGGCAACAACAACAAACACGCGTGGTGGCGTTAGCCGCACACTTGTCCCTCGGAGGGAGCCGGCGAGGATGAGGGTCGTACACAAGGAGAGTCCGTTGCACGCCAGGCACACGAAGCGATAGCCGATGATGGGCTTGGTCATGCAGCCCAAGCAGCGGTACTCGTGGTGCACGGGGAGGCCTCCAGCGAGATCCGGCATCTGGCAGGCGAAGCGCGCTATGAGCGTGCAACCGACGAAACCAACGCAACGCAACGCAAAGCAAAGCGAAGCAAAAAGGGGCGCAAGCGCGTTACCTCAATCACGTCGAACTTGTGGTCCACGCTGTGGGTGTCCTTGAGATGTGCAGGAAGGGTCTTCTTATCGTAACACACTGCGCAGACGCGGGAGAGTGAGAAACAAAACAACAAACACGAATGGAGGTCATTGGGCGTCAGGTTCGTAGCGTACGTTCGCACAGATCGCAGTCGTCGCATTGGGTGCAGTGGAAACGGAGACCCCACAAGGGCTTGGTCTCACAGCCGTCGCCTGTGTGCCGATCAGTGCACAGGTACTCGAGCGTTAGCGACTCTTCGTGGGTGTGGACAGTGTCACTGTGTCACCCATGGGTGAGAGCCGTACAGGCAAAGTACTGGTGGAAGGCCATCTCGGCCATGACGTTCTCGATCTCGAAGTACTGCTCGGGGCTTCCGCCCGACTTTTGGTAGCACGCCGCGCACAGGTCCGAGTCCGCCACGGTGCGCGACTTGTACCGCGTCTTGCCGGTGGGGATGGAGCCGTTGCACATGTCGCATCGAATCAAGTCGTGGTCCCAATCGTAATACTGCGCGCGAAGAACAACGCATGGTGCGTGAGACAGTCCTTCGACGTACGAGGCGAAGAGGAAACGCGTTGTGGTGGGTGGGTGGGTGGTGGTGGTGGTCGGTACCTCGCCCAACTGGTTGCCGAGGGACAGCCACCCGGGGCGCATGTTGTGGTTCCGGGCAAAGATCTCCACCTTGCGCCCGCCGGGCACCATCCTCTCGATGATGTGGTACAGCTGGTCGGGCTTGCGCGACTTCTCCCTGATCTCGGCAAACAGCAAATCGTTCGACGTCTGCGTTGTGCGCGCCAAGCACAGAGAACGCGATAGCGGCCAATCAGTTGATGTGACGTTGACGCCGGCTGAGCGGTGGTGACGGACACGAACGGACCTTGGAAATGAACTCCAGACTCTTGCCCTTGGCGTCGTACTTGACACCCACCAGGCAAATCTCTGACGAGTGGAGGAAGTAGTAGCCCTGCGAGATGGCGATGTTGCCGCTGGCGGTCTTCTTGACCCATGTGATCTGATCGAATCACAGAGTAGTAGTAGTAGTAGTAGGAGAGTAGCAGTGTCAGCGTAATGGCTCAAGTTCGGAGGAGAATAGAGAGCGAGAAGGGAGGAGTATACCCTATCAACATAGGTGTAGCCCCACTTCTGGAGGCACTTGAAGCCGAACTCGATCTGGGAGTTGATGACCCACAGGAAGATGAAGCCCTTGTCCGACAGACACCCCACGTCGATATCGATGATCTCGTCGTTGGACATGGTACCGTAGCTGAGTCCCCATTTGCCTGGTTGGCACGAAGCAAAAACGAGGTGAGGCTCAAACGACTACGACCACCACTCTCTGACGGCTGTACTGTACGTACTGTTGTTGAACATGGTCTTCTCATTGCTGATGAGCTGGTTGCCCTTGATGCGCCACGGCGGATCGATGAGGATGGCATCGAACTTGCCCAGCGAAGCCAAGTTGTAGTACCGCAGGTCGCAGTTGATGAACGTACGATCGGCCCAACTGTACGCTTCCTGCGCGGGGGGGGTCGGGGTGGTGATCAGCATAATTATTCCTGCGTGTCGGGCGGGCGGTGGGTCGCTTTGTTATGCGCATGGGTACCTTGTAGTAGCCCGATGTCACGCTCTTGCCCTCCTTGATGAGGGTCTTGTCGATCACCGCCTTCGTTGAGTCGAGCTTGAGCGTGGCCAGAGGCAGCTCGTCCCTGGGTACACGCACGTCCGAGATGAGCACGAAGATCGAGGAGTAGAACCGCGGTAGCCCCCCCCCCCAACAGAAAAGAAAAACACGTACGGGCGATTGAAGTCCTCGACCTCAAATCGCTTTCGCTTCTCGCCCTTCGAGTCCTCGCCCTTTGTGCCGCCGAGCAGTTCGGCGTCCAGCGCCATGATCTCGTCCTCGAGGCTGGTGTCGGCAGCCGAGGCGTACCCACTTTCCGCACTCTTCCTGCCACTCCGCGTCCGACCTCTCGTCACCGCTTTCTCCTCGCTGGGCGATGCCGCGGGCAGCGCCGTCTGGGTCTCTGCGCCAATCAAACAACAAACGAGGTTAGACCACGTAGCAGCAATCGCCGATCGGCAGAGTCGGGGGAATAGTGGCGGTACCTCGACAAGGGCATCCGCCCTCCTTCTCCCTGCGGTAGTGGTCCTCGTTCCCCCATTTACAGTCCAAAATTGAGCAGAACTCGCACCCGGTCTCTCGTCCGTTTGTACATTCCCGTCGGTGTAGTTCCTCCAGCTTCCTCAGTTGGGCCAGCGCGGCGACGGACGGACCGCCGCCGCCGGCGGTGGGTGCCGCAGGAGATAGAAGCGGCGAGGTCGGGAGTGTCGAAGGGGATGTCGTCGTCGAGGTGTAGGCTGTCGGGTCGTCCATGGGCATCGCGAGCTCGTCCTGTTGGCTCCGCCTGCCACTCTTTCTCGTTCCCGTCGTCTTCCCCGCCGCTCCTCCGCTGCTTCGACCTTTGCGCTGGCCCTTGGCCGCAGCCGTCTTCCCCTTGGCCTTCCCCTTCGCACGGCCCTTGGTCGTCGAAGCCTTGCCTCGGCCGCCCTTTCCGCCCTTGGCCGATGGCGCCGGCGCTCCAGCCTCCACGTACTCGTCTTCGCTGTCCTCTTCTTCCTCCTCCTTTTCGTCGTCAAGCTCGAGGTAGCCATACGGCAGCTGCTCTTCGACCACCACCGCCGGCAGCGCATCGTTGTGAGCATCCGCCTGTGGCGATCTATCTTGACCAGCCGCCTCCGTCATGGAGAGTCCAACGACCTCTTGCTTCGTCTCCTCAAGAGGTTCTTCTCTGCTCTTCGGTTGCGACGGCGGCGCTGCTGTAGCCGCTTCGTGCTTTACCTTCTCTTCGCCAACTGGGATCTGCTGGTTCAGCTTGGCCTCCTGCTGGATCTTGTCCTGCTCCTCCTGCAGCAAGTCGGCCAGCTTGTCCCACTCCTGCCGCACCTGCAGCGAGAGACGCGTGAGCGCTCATGTCTCAACTCGCTCATCTGTTCTCGCCCGATCGGCCCTAAGAAAGTAGTTGTACCTCTTCGTCTTCGGGTTGAGATTCGATTGACCCGAGCACGGCATCGGTAGCCGTATCGGAGGACAGGGCGATCGAAAAGAAGTCTTCCGCTGCGAGGATGTTGTCATCGTTGCCTGGCGCGTTGATGATGTCGTTGATGGAGAGCGAGCTGACCTCGGCGAGAGGTGGCGGCGCTGACGAGGCCGGGCCAGAGGCGAGCAGCGTCGCGATCGACATCTTCTGCAGAGAGGCGTCCGTCGGGGTGTCCACAGCCGCCATCGCCATCGGCGTTTGAGGCGATTCACCTGCAGAAACGGCCGTAGACCGTTGAGCCAGCCCTGCAGCTTCACGTTGGCTGTGGTGGCCGCTTCTCTCCGCTTCGAGTCGCATTCGCTTGAGCTCGTGGGCTGTGACTGGCTCGAGCGCCGGAGGGCACACGACATCGTCGCCTTGACGGATTTGCCCATCTTCGCCACCAAGAGTGGTCGGCGTCGGATAGCTCGTGTGTTCTGCGCACAAAGCACCACAACGTAGCGAAGAGATGGAGAACAGTCAGTCTACATGGCTTGCGTGTAAAGTGGCCGCGGGCAAGTGTGAAGAGAAGGAGCAAATAACACGCATGTGGATATTCTTGCTACCTTCCTTTTATCTAGCTTGCCTTTTAAGGATGAGATTAAATGCTTAAAAAATGTAAAGATGCACGCGTGTCTGTGTAGATGTAAAGACATAGAAACAAAATGGCATTTCCAATAAATAATAAATGACAAGAAACATCATACAAATATTTATCATAAAAAAATGAAGGGGCGCTACACGTACGGATGATGTCGAAGACGTTCTCCGGAGCCCACTCGGTGGGCACCACCTTCCTCCGCTTGCGGTCCTGCAGGGTGGCAGCCTTGGCACCTCCCTTCTTTGTGCTGGAGCCCTTCTTCGTCTTGGGCTTAGATGTCGATTTGTTGGGCGGGCTCTCTCCTAACAAAACTGCCTCGTTGTAGGTCGAGGGCGAAGCCCTCTGCCTTCTTGACCTCGTCTCCATCTGCGGCAGTTGAGGCGATTTGAGAGGGTCATCTCCACCCCCTTGCAGCTGCTGCAATCCGATCTCCGTTTCCTCATCCACTTCAGCCGAAGAGGACGAAATGGGTGATTTTCCATTCGATTGGACCTCCTCAGGAGGTTCCATCTTCGAATCGGCTCGCCTGCTGGTAGAATCTTTCGATGATCAGAAGTGGATGTAGATGCAACCGCGAGATGTGGTTTTACGCCGCGCTCCCAATGGGAATCAGTCGTCTGCCGATCTTGCACCTGAAGGATCTCACTCGTGCGCGGTGGAGGACAACAACGGGGCTTGTGCTTGGTGTGCTGGCGGGTGTCACACTACCCCACCGTTGCCTTTCTCTTCTTGTTTCGGACTTGCCGGCGAACAACTTTCCTCCTTGCAAAGCAGCCAATTTTCTGATTTTTGATTGGGCGCTTCACCCAGCAACCGTCGTCCGGGAAGGTCATCGTATCCTAAGATCCGCACAACCTGACCAGACTGCGTCCCGCAAATTGTCTACGTTGTCGACATTCGAGATGACGAAGGTCGGAATGCATTCCAAGAGGAGTCCACGTAAATTTCGAATGGAATGCACTGTGCGTTTTGGTGGCCACCCGATGGCGCGGGCTGCTTGTGGTGGTTCTGGGTGCAAACAGGAGGGAAATGCACACCCGTGGCGGGGGCTCAAGCTACAACTACATGTCATGCTGGTGTGGCTGCAAAGTCCGCCCTCTGGTCCCTCTTGTTATAACATTTATGAGAGTTAGAGATATCCGCTAGACTGGGAACGAGAAGGACGAAGAACAAGACGTAGAGAGGAGAAGAACCCCAGTAGAATAAGCAAGAATAAGAACAAGAAACAATACTATACAACACAGAAGTGGCCATGGACCGCAAGAGCTCTCTTCGAGCCTACGTGAGGACCAAGGAAGATCAAGCCGAGGTAAACTTGGAGGCTAAGGGCGAGGAAGAGCTGGAGCTGCTCTCCGACCCCCTCGCCTTGGCCAATACCGGCATCCTTCTCACAACCAACAAGCGTGGTGACGGTACGGACTGCCTCGCACCTTTTTCGCCTTGTGATTCTTTTTCTGAGTCCGTTGTGAGTTGTGTGTGCCATCACCACCGAACGCAGGCAAGGTGGTGTTCAGCCTGCGCGAGCTGCCTCTCCACAGCGAGTGGCGCACTTCCGCGGGACACACCGTGGCTCGAGTCTCTCGCCGCGATGTGCTCATCTGCGATGTCAGTACGTACCAACCTGCCCTCTTCACCCCCCCCCCCTTTCCAAGTATCAGCAATGCTCACCCTCTTGTGCTCGCTACCAGCTGGGCAGCCGCACACCATCGACGTGCCATCAGAGACGCTGCTCACCATCCTCTACCTGCCTGACGCAGTGCTCCAGACCATCTGGTTGCACCTCGTGCCCAGCATCACCAACACATGCATACCCCGTACGTGCCTGAACCCTTCCACGAAGAGGAGTTTGCCGCATGCGTTGGTTCCATACTCTTCTCTAACGCCTGCGTCGTTCGTTGAAACAGAGGACATTGGGCGGTGCAGGCTGGTGTGCAGACATTGGGCGCGCATGATCGAGAAGATGGTGGTCTACGAACGAACAAGGGGCATACGGTTCGTCATCCCCTCGCACCCGGTTCAGCGCGTGCGGAGCATCTACGACAGCGATGACGAAGACTACGAGCTCGAAGCGGAGCACGACAACGACGTTGAGGAATCGCTGCTCGACGGGGTCGCGGGCCGCCACACATCGATCGCGCGCCTCTGGGTGCTGTCCACCTCACGACCCAAGCCGGCCCCGGCCAAGGGCATCTTGAAGCGACCTGCCGACGACGCGCAGGGCAAGAGCAAGAACACCAAGAAGTCGGTGCGATTCACCGGCCTCGGCGACGAGAGCGAAGCCGAGGAAGCGGAGAAGGAGCGGCGAGCGCGGGAGAGCGTGCGAAGGAAGCTGACCGAGGGAACCGAGCTGTCGAAACGGTTCCTCGCCTCCTTCTTCGGATGGAGCAAGCACCACCACCGCAAGCGCTCGTCGATCGACGGCGCCGAACTGTTTGGCGAAGAAGACGATATGGACGACGAAGACGCCGACGACCAGGAGAGCGCGGACAGCGACGACACGGGAGAGGAAAGCGCGTCGACGGTCATCAACTCGGCCGAGGAGGCGTGGTACCGCACCAACGTCTTCGAGAACCAGACCAGGAATCTCAACCGCCTCAAGGAGCTCGAGATGCGCCTCGAAGAGATGGTGCGCAGCAAGGGCCGGCTCGGCTGCAAAGTCCCACGCAACAACACCGCCACCACCGCCAGCAGCGGCGCCGAGGAGGAGGCTCAGATGGGCGATGGAGAGGGAGTTGATGATGAGAGCCGAGTGGCGATCGTGGGCGACGACCTGCAATCATCGCCGACGCGGGTGGAAGTGGACGGCTGGGCCGAGAGCCCGGTCTACATGTCGCCGCCGGAGGCGCTGCCGGACCAGGCGCGGGAGGAGGCCAACGCGGGCGAAGACGAAGACGAGGGAGGACAAGAGGGCAAGCCGAAGCGCAGGAGGAGAGACTCCTTCAGCGGGCTGCTGTCCTCGATGTCCGGCGCGAGCAAGAAGCTTCTGTCGCGCTAGTCACAACAAGTAGGGAGAGAAGGTGTACATACTTTGGGAGCAATTGGTGAATGGCTCATACTATTTATTTACACAACATGTGCAGCATATTCATCCATGGAACATAGTGCCGAACACACCATTGGCTGACAAGTAAGCCCTTCCACCAATTACTTTTTGTGCAAGTGTCGACAGCCGATGAAAGCAGAAGGACACGGGGTGGAGCCCAGGCGGAAACAGGACAGTATGGAAAGTTAACGCGTAGGAGGCCGCGTTCTATTATGAATTAGGACTAGAGCAACGAGCCCGAGGTGCTGGAGATGGTGATGCAGATGACAAATATTGTATGATACAGGGATGAAGTGGTGATGGTTACAGGTGTGGTGTGGTGGTGTGATGCTATCTATACAGTCCAGCACTTGGTCTGCTCGATGATGTCGGCTCCTTCTCTCCTTTGCTCTCTTCTCTCCTCACAGCAGGTTGTCCAGGCACCACTCGGAGAAGCCCAGGTCGGCCCATGCGTCGTTCCACGACGGGTCGTTGATGGCCCGGAACAGGAAGCTGTCCCTGGTCGGTCGCTCCGCGCTCTGCCCCTCGCGGCACCGCTCCCGCACCTTCTGCAGCATGGCACAGCGGTAGAGCAGCACCTCGGCCTCTCTCGACAGCACACTGGGCGCCGCAAGCATTGGCGTGGCGTCCAGGTACGGACTGAGGCTGGTGCTCCTGCTGACGTTGCTGCTGCTGTTGTGGTCGTCGTAGTACTGCTGCGGCCAAGGCGACGACGGCTGCGACGAGGTGTGTTGTTGGAGCTGGGGCGTGCTGGGCCAGGTTATGGGCGACGACGGCTGGGGCGAGTAGTGGACCGACGAGCGAGGCGACGAGCAGGTCGACGATGAAGGCGACGGCGAGGTGGAGGTGGGAGTGGACAGCTGAGAATGGGCCTGGGTGGTTGCTGTGTAGATGGGCGAGAGCATGGGCGATGATTGTACAGAGGAAGATGAAGACGACGATGAAGATGAGGAAGCCGACGACTTGCAGGAAGAGGAGCGCTGACGCGGCCTCTGGGGCTTCACCTGAAACGTGAACGAGAGGCAGCCCGAGGAGTTCATGGACGAGGGCGACAGCGCGGGAGACGAGGGCATCGAGACCGACCGGCTGCGTCGCTGGCCGCTACCGTCAGAAGAGCCCGTCAGACCCACCAGGGCGTCGTCCTCGGCCATACGGCGGACCAGGTGGGTGTAGTGCTGCCTGCACCAGAGAGAGAGAGGGTGGTGACAGATTAGCCAATGGGCAGCGCTTGTTTAAATAGGGAACGGCTATTGGAAAAAAGGCAAGAGCCCGGTAAGAAGAAATCAAGAAGGGGGGGGGGTTGGAGAGACGTACTTGGCCTGGCCACGGGGTCCTTTTCTGTTGCTCTTGATGCCTGGGAAGGCTCGGCGAACCAGCTTGCCATAGAATGTGCGGGACATGGGGAAGGTGACACCTGGTGAGGAAGAAGATGGTGAGGTGAGCCTTGGCGTGTCTGGTTGGCTGGGGTCGCGAGCTTCAAGTATGAAGTACCCTTTTGTCTGCACATGTCGAGGTAGTGGGCGTACACCTCGCACTTGCTGACAGAGCCGGCCGAGTTGATGGTGTAGTTGTCCCTCAACCTGCGTGTTGTGCATGGAGGTTAGGGTAGGCCAACTGGAAAGGTGTGGCCATCACGACGAACCATTGCACGACGGCGATGCGGTCTCTCTCGTCCGTCGAAACGTCATCGTCTTGGTGGTTCTGCAGCTGCTCACCAAGTTCGCTGTTTGTGTGGTGTTCGTCCTGGCTCGCCATGGTTGCTAGCTTGCTGGGAACGGTGACGACGAAGGCGGTGATGGTAACGAGGCTGGTAAGCCTGGCGTTGATGGGTACAGGGGAGGGGTTGCTTGTGATGTGCCTTCGCGATGGCTGGAAGATGGTACAGAACCGAGGGAAGTGGCCCGTGCACGGCCACACTTATAGGAAACCGGGGGGGGGGGCACCACCACGGCCATTCGTCGCTGCGCGACCCAAACTTTTTTGACTCTATTCTCAGGTCACGGGAAACAACGGAATGAGATGGTATGCGAGAGCCACATTCCCCCATTCCTGGCCTCTTTAGCTCTTCGATCCTTGGGCCTCGCTGCTGATGGGTCACTTTGCATCGCCCGCTTACCTTTCCTCCGCTCGAGAGCGCTCGGCATTCCATCGCCGTCGGTGATGATGTCACATGTTGGTCTCCCCACGGCCCCGCCCAGTGGAGTACGGGAAAATTTGGGGAAGATCGCCGACCATCACCGACCACGACGGCAAGTTCAGCATCTGCGTTCACCGACCCAAACTGGTCAGTTACAGCGGCCACCGAGAGCTGCGCTTTTGGGAACCGCACCGGCCACGTGCGGAGTGGTCATGATCACACTGTAATACCGGGGTGCTGCTCGAGCCCGGTTGCACGCTGTGAAAGCCGACAGTCTGCTCCGTGTTGAAAGGCTTCCCCCTTCGCTTCTCTCCATCTCTTTTCGTTCTTTTCGCCGACCAGCACGCGGCTTCGCCCCCTGCAAGCGTTACGACCCGCAACGACCACCGCTCATGTTGTGGGAAAGGTGGAGCCCCCTCCTCCTTGATCCTTTCCATTCAAGTGGTCACTCATGAAGGCCGGGGAGGAGGTGATTTGCCACACCAGATCCACCACCCAAATGGTCGTAGAAGCGGTGTGATGCGTTCTTGTTGTAGTGCGCAACCAGCATACGCACGCTGTGCGCGTCACACCAGCAGAAAAGCCGCAGAGCGCCGGCAGAGTACACGTCACCCTCTGTCCTTCCCTCTCCGCTCGTTCTCCATCTTTTCTGGGTGCCTGCCCGCTTCTTTCTTGCGACGGCAACGGCCGTTGCGGTTCAGTGAGCGATCGGTACATAGACGGCAGCGCCCGTACCAGGCTTCGTCACCAGCAGCTCAGGGAACGTCTCTTTCACCTACACACCAGAACGTCGAGCGACACGGACCAGACATCAGAAGGGGACGATCTGTGATGGAGCCGTGATGACGAGGGAGGGCCTACCTTGGTACAGAAAGCGTCCACCTTGTGCGTGGGGACAAGGGAGATAGTCCAACCACCCCATCCAGCGCCAGTCAAACGAGAACCAACAGCTCCCGCTTCGCTGAAGCACGAACACATAGCAAAAAAAAAGTAAAATAAAGGAGCATTATTCCTAAAAATGGTCAAAAAAGACAAAAGGCCGACGTACCGACACAAGGCGGTCAGCTGGTCCAGCTCCGAACACGAGCAGGCGAAGAGGTCCCTGCAGCTAAAGTGCGACTCGTTCATGAGCTTGCCCAGGACCTGACGAGCATGGCCATGGTGAGGAAGTGATGTGTGCCGTCTGCCATAACGCATCGCATACGTGTGAGGTGGCGGTGTTGTCGTACCTCAAGCTGGCTGCTGGCCTCCTCGGCCGAAGCGGCCTTCGTCTGGCAGATCGCTTGGAAGTCCTCCACCCTCTTGGACTCTGCTCGCGTTGCCCAAATCTTTCTCGTTAGCCCGGCCTGCAGGAGTAAGTGTGCGCAGTCTGCAGGCCCGGGCTGGCGCCGTACCGGTGTACACATGAAGCGACCTCTGGCAAAGGTGGAAGACCTTCTGGTTCACGTCCTCCACAACGATCCTGCCCAGATAGTCCTTCCTCACTCGATCGACATCAAAGCCGGTGAGCTCGGCCAGCTCTGTCATCATCATGCCCATGGGCATCAAAAATGGTGCACAAGCCGACGTCAGTCAAGCTGCTTACGGCAAGACAAACATGCACCGCGCTGACGTGCGTGAGCGTACCGTTGAGGGAGTAGGCCTCTTCGTGCAGGTGCTGCTTAACGAAGCCGGCCAAGTCTTCGAGCGAAGGCTGAGGCTTATGAAGCTTCTGCACATCGATTAGTCGCCTGAAGAGGTGGAAAGGGGTCAGCTGCGAAGGTCATGGGCTAGCAAGGCGCAGACTGCAGAGGGGGACATGTGGCAGATGCCTGGGCGAGAGGCCTCTACCTGATCTGGACCCAGTCCTCGATGCCGAGCGCCTTACCGAGCAGCACTGCAGCCAAGCGGCACTCGACGACCCTCATGTTATAGCCCGATCCGAGCGTCGCGTACTTGTTGGCCTCGACACCGCTTGCTGCGATCACAAACGACACGCTACATACACGTCGCCCAAAGCAAAGCGCACAGCCCAGCCGAGTACCATTAGCACACTGGCTCTTGTCCTGGCCAGTGTGGACCCAACTCACGCAGCAGGGCGACACGAAGTACCCTTCGGGAATCATCACATCGGAAGCCCGAAGCGGATCGAAGTCGATTCTCTTCGCCTTGCCCTTCTCGCCCAGGAACGAGATGGCCTGGTCCATGCTGCACGCATGAACAGTTAACGAGATAGAAGCGCGTGTCAGCCCAGGCACGTCATCAACCATTGCAGAGCTTGCTCGCAACGCGTGCGGACGGGTACGTTACCCGCCAGACTCCATGCCGATGAATCGCTCGGCCTTGCATGCCAGGTCGGCCATCTGGGTCTTGGAGAGCCGTTGCTTGTTGGCCTGCGCCAGAGCCAGCGAGGACGCGCAGACGAGGGCAGACGACGACGAGAGCCCCGATCCCTGAAGGTGGGGGAGAGAGAACGGGCACCACGGTGCCGTGGTGAGCTAGGCTGAGACCACATTCAGGGCGAGAAGGTGAGAAGCCATACAATGGGCACGGTCCCGTGGGTGAGGATGTTGATCGTTTGCGGCGGCGTCTGCTTCTCTTCGCCGCCCCGGCCATCGTCACCTGACCAGACCACCATGGCACACATGAGCATGAATCAGAACACGAGAACTGGGGCACTGGTGGCGGGTGGCGGGCAACACTGGCGGTACCGACGAGGTCCTTGGCCTGCTCGAGTCCGCGGTAGGCGGCGAGCACGTAGCGCGACCAGTCGTGGGCAACGTCGATGGACGACGACGCGGTCAGCGCGCGGGTGGGGAACCTGTCGCTGACGTTGTGCAGGTTGATGGTGTCCTCCTGCACGTTGCCCTCCACCACGCGGACGGCCATGATGGTGTCCTGTCGATCCAATGCCATGGGCAGCACGCCATAGCCGCTGTAGTCCACATGCTCGCCTGGCCAGGAAGGTGAGGCATTGGTGGGTGGTGAACGCCAACACAGCCACGACGCACCAGCCAGGGCACTTACCGATGAGATTGACGCGTCCGGGAGCGCGGGCGAAGTAGGCCGGAGCAGACCCATAAATCTTCTCGAATTGTTGGGTCAGATTCGTGTACCTGCGAGTGAGCCGAATTGGATAAATGAATGAAGGGCACGAAATGAATGCTTTGTGTCGCGATGAAGGAAGACTTGAAAATGAAATGGGAAGATTGCCTACCGGGACTGAATCTCTTTCAAATCTTCGCCCTCGAGCGGGTACATCTCGTCCACAGTGTGGAAGACGGGAGGGAGCGGGATGGCAGCACTGTTCATGTTGGTGGACTCTATCGGGAATGGGAACAGTGCAATAGATGGAAGAGTGCAACACCAACACAAAGTGACCCCTTGTTTGGCGCTGTAATATCGGATTCCTGGTTTTTGTCATGGAGCGATTTCTGCATCATGTCGGCAGAAAATGACTGGCATTTTTCGTAAAGCCAGAAAAATCACAGACACGGCTGCGTTGGGTGGTTTGTCGATCGATCGCTCATCAAACAGCGGACGCGGGTGTGTGGTTGAGCTGGAAGATGAATCTCAGCTCAGAACAGGAGACGCAGTTGCAGGACTACCTGGTGGAGCAGTTGGAACCAATGTAAGTTATCTATCACCTGTTTAATTGCCACCATCTGGCGCAAATCTCATTTAGCTATGTATTTTTGGTGGCCACCAGATGTGCTGCCGATCCGAAGGTGCTGTCCATGTACATTCTGGCCCTCATTAAGCGCGATGACATGTCAACGGAGCAGGTCAGAGAGTTTTGTACGACTGAGCTTCAAGATTTTTTGAAAGAGGGTACCCTTCTCATCCACCGCCGCGCCAACCACTCCCACTTGCTAACCATTCATCTCTCACAGAGACGAAGCCCTTCATCGGGCGCCTTTTTGATATGCTGCACGAGATGACCTCGCGCCAGTCCGGTGGTGGTGTGAAGAAGGAAATGGATGACTCGCGCCGGCACAAGGAGCGAAGAGAGGATTTCGACAATGAAGACGCGTACGATCAGTATGAGGATCGCAGCTCGTCATCATCGCGGCGATCGGACGACAGCAGAAAGAGACGATCAGATCAGGGCGAGCGAGAGCGGGAAAGGAGCCCAGCGCCCTATGATGACGACAGCAGAGATCGCAAGAGAAGGCGAGCTGGCTCGGAAGAGGCCGAAGAGCGCTCGCCCTCGTCGCAGAGGCGCGACCGGCACAGGCGCGAGAGGGACCGTGAGGACACCAGAGATGTGCTGCCATCATCATCATCCTCTACTTCCACCACTTCGTCTCGGAGAGGGTACGATCAGCGCGGCCATGAGGCTGGTGGGCGTGTCAACATCGACCGGCCTCTTTCTTCGAGCCGAGGCAAGGACGAGATTGCAGGAGGAGGTCGGTGGGAGGGAGGACGTGAGGACAGCAGATCCCACCCCAGCGCGTCCAGCAGCCGCTACGATGATGGCCGAGGCTCTCGAGACTACAGCTCGCGCAGCAGGACTGGCGGGCGCGACACAAGACCCGGTGGCGATTTTGGTGGCAGCCGCATTACCGGAAGGAAGCGAGGTGTGTGCTACGATTTTGAAGGTATCCATCGAATCTTTTCGGCTGTGTTTAATTGATTTATAATTTGATATTATTTCTAAATTATTTGTTCTTGTTGCACTGGTCACGCTCATCATCGATTTTATTTTATTTTTTCCCACGTAGAGCGTGGTGTGTGCGTCAAGGGTGAGAGTTGTGAGTATGAACACCTTGGGCGGCCTCTTGTTGTTGACGAGGCAGGTCTGTCCAAGCTGCAGAGCGACCGTGGTACGCTACTACTGCTCTCGTCTCTCTCTCTCTCTCTCTCTCTCACTCTTAGCATGCTAACTGACGCGCGGCCTCGTCTTGTCCAGAAGACACTGAGGAAGCCGGTGCCTACAATCCGGAGGATCCGTTCCTCAACAAGACCAGCCCCATCCCGGTGTGGCACGGTCCCACGTCCCGAGCTGCGCCTCCCGTGCCACGCGGTGGGCGGGGCGTCGCGGGTCCCGGGCTGCTCAACCCGCCCATGCTCCCCCTGCCACCCATGCCTCACCCGCAGAGGCTCGGCAATCAGGGTGCGTACACCACCATCGATATATAAAAGTCGCATGGCTTGTCACCTCGTGCCTGGTGTGACCGATGATTAACACACCTCACATTGCGAACGCAGGCGTTCTTCCGCTGCCGTCGGTCCCCATGCTGCCGCCTCATCAGGTGCCCTACCATGGCGGGGACGGGCTGATGCCCACACCCGGCAGCCAGCCGTACCCGTCGCGCGGCATGCGTGGAATGCGCGGCCGAGGCCGGGGCGGATACCACCAGAGACCTTCCTACGAGGACGAGGGGATGTTCCGCACCGAGACGGAGAGTGCAATCACCGACACGGCCAACTTCGGGGGCAACCGACCCCCTTATGAGTCTCATTACGGCGACAACCAAGGTACGATTGCCTTGTTCATCACCGCCACCGCGGTTCCCTTCTGCGCAGAAGAAAGGCCGGCGCCAACGAAGTCCTCGCTTGTGTTGTTACGCAGGAGGCGGTCGTGGCTTCAACCGGTTTAAGCGCGGGCGGTATGAGGGCGACTACGGCCACAGAGGGGCCAGGCCACCGAAGCCTCAGACCGACTCGATTTGCGTGGCCCGTATTCCGCAGGAGCTGAACACGATTTCGCAGCTCAACGCACACTTCCAGAAGTTTGGCAACATCGTCAACATTCAGGTACGAACAACATTTCCGACATACTCGCACATGTCATGCGGCTCGGTCTCACTCCCCGGCTTTTGCCTTCTTCTTCTTTTCTTCTTCTTCAGTTGGATCCCGCGAACAAACAGGCATTCGTTCAGTTCACGAGCAACGCCGAGGCGCTGTTGGCCCTGCGCTCGCCCGAGGCCGTGATGAACAACCGGTTCATCCAGGTGTACCTGAAGAAGGACGAGGCGCAGGAGGGCGGCGCCCCGGCCCCCGTGGTCCCTCAGCCGCCCCGACCCGTACGACCATTCCCCCCCAGTCTAGACACCCGAACCGCGGCGCGTCACGGATGCCATGCTAACTCCTCTGTTTTTCTGCTGAATAGGCGGTCCGACCTGTGCCCACGTCCACTGTTCCCCAGCCGGCGATGATGTCGCGAACGCCCACGTCTCTTGTGGTTCAGCCCGCCGCCGCGGCTCAGCCCAAGAACCTGGAAGAGCTGAAGAAGAAGCAACAGGAGCTTCTCAGCAAGCAACTGGAGCAGCAGAAGGTACGCGTGGAAGTTGAGAGTGTTCTTTATTGGTTGCTTGCTGGGCCTCAAGCTAATGTTTTGTTTTTTGTTCATAAAATTAGAAACTGCTTCAACTGCTGGAGAAGATGAAGGGAACCACGTCGAAGGAGAAAGACGAGGTCAAGGCGCAGCTCACGGCCCTCACCGCCAAGATCGGCGAGGCCATGAAGAAGGCGCGCGAGGGCGTCGCCAAGCAGACGGCCGCTCCGGTTGTCGGTGCCGCGCCTGCCGCTGCCACGTCGTGGAAGAAGCTGAGCGCCGACTCCGAGAAGCAGCGGTTGGACCGTGAGCTCGAGTTGCTCGCCAAGTCCAAGGCCGTCATCGAGACCAGCACCAACGGCGCCTCGGCGCCTCCGAAGAGCACCACCAGCGAAGCAGGCGCGAGCCTGGCCGAGTCGCCCGAGCTGAGCGCCGTCGGTACTTCTTCCCTGCCGGCCCCTACGAAGGAGGTCGATCAGTCGCGTATGGAGGCCCTGCAGAAGACCCTGGCCAGCCTTCAGGAGGAGGCCAAGCAGCTCGGCATCCCCGCCTCCCAGATTGCCGCCCAAGGTACTTGCTTTACGCCCTCCCAGGGCAATGGGACAATGACCAGTCAGTCAGTCATCGGGCTCCAACACTTATTATGGGTCTTCCCCCCCAAACAGTTACCGGTGTGCCCTCGCTGGCGGGACCCCGAGGCCGCGGAGTCGGGATGCGCGCCCGAGCTGCTCCCTGGTGGGGCCGCGGCAGAGGCAGAGGCGGTCGAGGTACACACGCCCGCGCATCTCCTTCACCGCCACAAGTTGTGTCGTGTGTTTATTTACCTGTGCGTTGCGCTCGCTTAGGTCGCGGGTTTGCGAGTGCGCCGCGCTCGTTCAAGCTGGACAACCGTACCACGGTGGTCTGCGTCCACGACGTGCCCCAGGAGCTCAGGGACGAGGCGCTACTGCGCGCCCATTTCCAGGCCTTTGGCGAGGTCATCTCGCTCGCCATGCAGCCCGACTCCAACAACTTCCTGGTGCAGTTCGCCCAACGGTTCATGGCCGAACAGGTATGTACCCCCAACCAACACAGCCCCCACAACTGGCGCAGCCCTGGAGCGATGGCTTAACGTGCGCTTGTCCTCCCCGCCAGGCTATGCAAAAGGGCACGGCGTTGCAGGGCCACATTTTGAACATGAGCTGGCACGACTCCACTCAATCGGCCGGCGAGGCGGGAGAGCAGCTCGAGCTGGCTTACACGGAGGCCGAGAACCAGGTATGGCGCAGCGTCGTTTTCTTTTTCTCTTCTTTTCTTCCTCTTGCGGGCCTTGACCTTACCGCCCTGATTATTGCGCAGGAGGAGGTCGAGGAGTACCAAGGCGGCGAAACCTTCGTTGAGGAGCCCTTTGCCGTCGCCGAAGAAGAGATCGACATCGACGAGGACAAGGAAGAGCGCTCCTGGAAGAGAGAATAAGCCAGCCGTCGGGACCTCCTTTCATCTTCATCAACCCATTCTGGGTTCGCCTCTCCCCTCTCCTCTATTCTCTATCTCTCTTCTCCACCTTTAACACTCATGTATCTCCAGCCGCCACTGCAAGGCGTGTACATGCAATGCGCATTCCCAAAAGAGCCAAATGTGGCCAACACCTCTCGCTCTTGAGAGAGAGAGAGAGAGGTGTACACCTATAAAACATACACCATAACACTACCTACATACCACTACCAGCCACAAGAAAAAGAAAAACAGAGCACCCAAGTGGCTTCCCTCTTCTCTATCTCTCTTCTCTCTCTTTCTCCTCTCCCCTCTTTCGACCAGGCCAGGCCCACTCCTCACTCTTCGCAGGTTCTCTTTCCTTCTCTTCTTCGCTTGTTGTTTGGTATCATCAATTGGGTGGTCTGGCGTTCGCTTTGTGGTGGAACTGGAGGCACGAAGGTATGTGACACAGGTACGTCTGTCCCGCCCCCTCTTTTTTTTTGAACCCCCTTAGTGATGATGTTCCCGCTGCGTGCGGGCGTGAATGTGGAGTGTATGCTGAAGAAACGCGCTCAATAAAGATCAGCTTTTGTTGTTGGGCCTTTGGGTGGGTGTCATGGCGGCGCAAGCGCAGCAAGGCACCGCTCCGCGAACACCTCGACGAGCTGACGCACAAGCTGGAGCTCGGCAGAGTCTTCTGTGGGTGCTGCGTCGTCCACACCACCAGCGCTCGCCGGCCGTGAGAGGAAGACACGCACGTCGTCGCGGCTGCGAGCTTCGGCGAGGAAGACGCGCTTGAGATTGGCCACCAGCTTCCCCGCCCCATTCCCCCTCCTTCGGTCGGCCGTGGGCGTGGCGGTGGCGGTGGCGGTGGCGAGAATGGAGGCCACCCGACCGCGCAGCTGCTGGTCGAGCCGGTGGAGGAAGTTGGTCAGACACTGCTCCCGGTCCTCGTCTCGCCGTCGCTCGCGTTCGCGCTCCTCGCAGGCCTCGGCCCGCACGAAGTTGTCGCTCCACATCGCCGCGATGGCCTGCCACAGCCGCTGCAGGTCGAGGTCTGCGGCTGCATCGCCCTCCGGCTCCTCCTCCTCCCTCTGCGGGTGCACAACACACGTGTGGCGCTCCCAGCCGTGGTCCGCGGGTTGGGGCGCCTCGAACCGAGCGTGCATGCGCTCGATGATCTCGTCTGGAACGCGCGCAGAACCCGTGCGCCGGGCGTTACGGGCGAGCGCCACGGCAAGCGGTACCTCCACATACACCTGGCCATAGGGCACTTCGTCTGTTGTCGTCGTTGTTACCGACCACGCGAAGGGTGAGGCAAGTGTGCAGTGCTGGTACAATAGAGGAGTGGGTACGAACGTTTCTTGGCGAGGAGGTAGCACTGGTGGCGCATGCTACGGTAGTACATGTTGTCGTCCACCACGATCAGCCGGCGACTCACACACGTGCCAATACTGTTGTTTGTTTGGCGGCTCTCGTCTATGCGGCGTTCCACTTCGAGGAGGGCGAGCGCCCGCGACCGGCACCACCTGTCCGCTTCGAAGTCGATAGCAACCTCCTCCACTTCGCTGCTCGCCGCAACGACCCCGCCGATGTCGACGTCATCGAAGCTAATGTGGTGCACCTCTACCTGCAGCTCTCCATCAATATGTGTGGCGCTCGACTGGGCCAGGCGTCTGGCGAGGGTGGACTTGCCAGCGCCAGGCAGGCCGCACAGGACCAGCACCATGCACGCCCCGTCCATCTTCTGTCATTCTTTGGTTTCTTTTTCTTTTCCTTTGTTTTTCTTTTTGGTTTTACTCGGTAGCTCCTTTTATGGTCAACCCGGCCAAACTGGTTGGGCAACGAAGCCTCTTCTCATCAAACAACCAAAACCTTCCACGCATCAACATACCCCACAATGGTACGTCTTGTTGACCAGGCTATTCCTTCTTCTCTCCCTAACTGATGGTTTTCAATCAACAATTGTGGAGTAGAAGTTCCAGCTGTTGCTGTTGGCAGTAGCCTTGTTCGCCGTCCTCGCGCTCGTCGAGAGCCGCCCTCTTCCTCGTACTCCTCCTTCACTGCAACCCAATCTGATTGATGGCTGATTGCGCTTCTTGATTCCTCTTACAGGTCGCGATTGCTGGGCCGACAGCGAGTGCAATAGCAGCGTGGAGTACTGCAAGCGCCGGGTGGGTCACTGCAACTCGGAGGGCTTCTGCGCTTCCAGGCCCACTGTACGTGCTTTTGTGCCCTCTCATTCCCCTTCTTCATCGATCCTGATCTAAGTCAGCGTCGTATGCAAACAACCTTGCAGGACTGCGCCTCCACGGGCACCCCGGTGTGCACCTGCACTGGCGAGACCCTTGAAAACGACTGCTCTGCCGCCGCCGCTGGCGTCACCGTGGCCTACGAGGGTGAGTGCACTAACTGAGCTCATCCACCATGAAGCCAGCACAACACTTCCACTTGTGTAGCCTTTTCGCGGTCCAAGTTGCAACGTCGAGAAATAGAAAAAAGAAAAAAAGCAAATCCACAACAAGCTAATCACAATCAGCGGAAAGATGAGGCGGAGCTGTGCATCAGTGGCGGCTGGAGGAGCGAGCTGGGGGCGTTGCGGTCACCAACCGGCGTCGCGCTTCCCCACAAGCATGCTGAGACAGGCCGGGTCGGATGGATTCCGCTTTCTGCGCCCATCGCTGACCACGATGCGGATGTTGGGAGCGACAAGGAGCTACGCTGAGAGGGTGAAGGTGGATTATCACTATGGACACGAAAAATTCGGGAAGGACCAAGCTGAGCCAGCATCCGAAGATACGACGAAGCCCAAGGTCAAGGGCGCCAAGTTGTCCGGTGTACAGGGTGGCAGCAAGACGCGCAGATGGTACAAGCAAGTGAGCGTTGGTACCCGCCCCGCACAAATGTAATTGAGATTTTTAGATTTGCAATCGGGACTATTGTCTCATCGATTGCACTGCGCACAGGAGAGCGAGAGGGCGGCTGGGCGCCGCTACTAGATGGCCGGGTGATTTTGACCCCAATGGAGCACCCACTTGTAGTACCCTCGCAGCATAACGCGCTTATGATCGCGGCCGAGTGGGAGATGCAGCAGCCGTACATCAAGCCCGACACCATGCCCATTGTACGGAAGCGCCAGTCCTCTTTCACCACTCCTTGCATCCCACTTGCTCACTCATGCTGCTTTCGTATACAAACGACTCTACAGACACGCCTGGCCACCACAATCATGGACCGCCTTGTCGAAGGCAAGCCCGAGATCAGACACGCCCTCACTCTCGAGATGCTTGACTACATCGAAACCGACACGATCTGGTGTGTACAGCGTTTCGACCCCTCGGCTCCGCGACACTGACCGTGAATGTGGTTTCATCACATCAGCTACCGACCCGATGACAGAGAGAAGGAGCAGGTGCTCTACGACAAGCAGCAGGCACAGCTTCGTCCGTTCTTGAAGTGGTTCTCGTCCTTCTTCAACATGGAGCTCATGCTTCACTTCAGCGTGATTCCCGAAGCGCAGCCGGAGGAGACCATCAACGGTCTGCGCCTCCTCCTTCACAACACAACCGGTACGCCTCGCGTCACACTCAAACTCAGCCCGCGAACCGGCTATCAACCAACACACACACACTCAGATTGGGAGCTGGGCTGCTTGGACACCTTGGTGAGCCGAACCAAGTCACTCGTCCTCGGCCTCGCGCTCTGGAAAGGTACCGCACGCCTCTGCTGTGTGCGTGTGCGGTGGTGCGTGTGCGTGTTGCTTACGCGCACATTTCGCGTTCCTTGTTGTGCAGGCCCGTTCTCTGTCGACCAGTGCATCGCGGCCAGCAGGATCGAGGAGGACCACAACATCGCCGAGTGGGGCGAGTGTGAGGGCGCGCACGACCTGGACAAGGTCGACATCTACAAGCACGTCGCCGCCGCCACTGCCTTCCTCCGCTCGCTCCCGCCAGAGCAGTCGAGCCTCAAGCAGTGGTAAAGCACAAAATAATAAACAATAAATTATTTATTATTGAATAAGATAAGATTTACAACAAAAATAAGCCATAAAGTTCAATTCATCTCTCCGGGCGAGATGGCACGGCCGCTGACGCATGTGCGACTGGAGGACTGCTTCGGCGAGGAGCATCTTGTGGAGATCCGGACCTTGCCAGAAGATGTACAACAGGCCGTGCAACAGCAGCTCGAAGAGAAATATGGCATCAAGCAGGCTCCCATCCCTCAAAAAGAGCCCGGAACCATCGGTACAGCAGATGCGATTTTCATTTGTAATCCATTATGTTGTTTATTGATTGATGAGTTTTATTTTATCGTGTTCAATAGATGAGGGCGAGGTGAGGGAGTGGCTGGTCGGGTTGCCACTTACCGACACACACCCGCTGCCGCCGCTGCTCGATACCGCCCTCGCGTGGACCCGCAAGGCAAAGTGCAGGTGCGCTCTCACACGCCTGCGTGTCACACTTGTCTTGTACTTGGCTCAACGCAGTGCGCGTGGCAGGGCGGTGCTTGACAAAGTGGACGACTTCACACCGCGCGTGGCGGCGCTGCTGCCCGCGCTGCTGCCCAGGCTCCCCGGCGAAGCACCGACCGACGACGAAGACTCGACACTCTTGCGCGCCGCGATCTTGCTCCTCCGCCTTCTGCGCAACCTGTGCCCCAACTCGCCTGACAACCAGCACCACATCAGGTACGCCAACCCAGCCACTCACACGCAGCATAGAGTCACGACGCTCGCCGACCGCGCTTACCTGCGATGTGCGGCGGTGCTGCGGTGCGGCGCACAGGGAAGCCGGGGTGATCGAGACCGTGCTGGCGTTTGTGCGCCGCATGGAGGAGCGGACGCGTACGCTGCAGGCGGAGAATCAGGCCTGCAAGTCGCACACGGAAGCCATGCGCATGGCCCTGCAGCTGCTGGCCAACTTCTGCACGGCCAACTCCGAAAATCAACAATACCTCTGGGAGCTGCTCTTCCCTTCCGCCCTTCTGTACGTGCTCGTTCTCCTGCGCGCACGCGTGTGTAAGGCGCTGACGTCATCATCGGTCTCCGCTGTTTCCTGGTTCAGGGACCTGATCACGGTGTCGACCGATCCCCAGTGCACGGGGCACGCCTGCATGCTGCTACACAACTGCACCCACGCGCAGTCGCGCTGGCGAGCCCAGGTGGCGCTGTCGAGGCCACACATGGAGGCCCTCGTCGCCGTGCTGGCGCACGAGGGCGCGGGCGGAGGCGCCTACGCCGATGCGTTTGAGTGGGCCGTCCTCTTCCTCGAGGCCGTGCTCAAGGACGGCCTGTTGTCCCAGATTTGGGCCAATCTTGCCAGCCCGACCCTGCCGTACGTCATGGCCTACACCCTCCCCCCCTCTACGTTGTGGGCCAATGCGCTCATGTATCGTGAGCGTCGTCGATCGGGTCTGTGTAGTGTGAACAGGGTCCAAGTGGTGCTACTGAAGATACTCGACGGTCTGACCGACCGCCTGGCTAAGGTCGCGAATGGGTACATGCCTCACCCCTTCTACCGCGCCTGTGATTTGGCCGGGTTCGACGTTGGCCATACTCACTCCTATCGCCTTCTTCCATCAACGAAGGACCACATCGACGGCGTTGATGCCCCTCGAATCGTACGTTTTCCTGGCGCTCGAGTTCAAGCGACTACGGGACGAGTTCTTCTTCCGACGACAAGCGCCGAGCGGCGCAGTGGCGATGGAAAAGAAGAGGGAAAAGAAACAACAGAGGAGGAAGTGGAGGAAAACGATACCGATGCGCGCCTACAGATCGAGATGGAAGATCTGAGCGACGCGTTGCTGCTCCTGCTGCAGATATTCTCGGCGGTGGCGTTGTCCGACTCAGCTGAGAATGCCCGCTTGAAGACCGCTCTCGCCGAGGCGGGTTTGCTACAGACTGTCATCGGTTCGTAACCACGCACTCACACATGCACCGCTCCACACACACACACACACACACACAACCACACCACGACGGTCATGGCTCGCAGATGCGTAAGCCAACATGCTGACCTAGCCCGCTCCTCTCAGAAACGCTCGGCCTTCTCTACCAAGAGGCTCAGACCACCAGCACTGGCGCCGGCACGCGCAAGTGGGACGACCCTCCGGCGATGAAGAGGGATCTCGTGCGTGTCGTCGCCAATATGGTCCACGCCCACACCGCCAACCAGGACCTCGTACGCCTCTCCCCCACTCCTCCGCCTCTCTACAGAGCCACATGTGTCGCTTTGCCGTAACGCATGCTGATGGGCAACACGCTATCAGGTTCGAACCCTGGAGGGCATTCCGCTGGTGCTCAACTGCTGCCAAGTAGACGACCTCAACCCATGTACGCTGCCGTCTCACTACTTTAGCTCACACAGCACATTCATTTGGCTGATCGATGTGCGCGCGTAGACATGCGAGAGTGGGGCATCCTGGCGGTGCGGAACCTGTGCGAGGACAACGAGGCCAACCAGCAGATCATTTCGTCGATGCAGTACGTCGGGGTGGCCGACAACCCCGAGCTGACGCGCATGGGCCTCAAGGTCGTCATGGAGGGCGGCCAGTTCCGCCTCCGCAAGCTCGACGAGTAAGCGCCATTTTTTTTTTTTTTGTGCTACGGGGAAGAAGTGAGGTTTGCGGAAAAGAAGTTTGTGGAGCTCCAACGTCGAGTTCTCTTCTGCGCAACGAACATGGAGCAAGTGCGTGCGCTGTACGACTTTGCGCCGGCGACTGCGCAGGAGGTGGGCTTTGCGAAGGGCGACGTCATATCCAACGTCGAAGTCGTTGATGAGAACTGGTGGCGGGGCACCACCCCCAATGGAAGTTACGGCCTCTTCCCCTGGTACGGGCCTGTTACACACCTCCATCCTTCTCTCTTCTCTCTTTGCCCCCCCCCCACGGCGTCGCTTTCGTTCTTTTATTGATTTTCGTTCTTGGGGGGGGTTGAAGTAATTACGTGGAGAGGATAGTGGCGGCGGCCCCTGCCCCGTCACCGGTGGTGGTCACCCCCGCTGCCCCCGTGGCGGCCACGCCCAAACAGCTGAACATTCCCGTACGAGCGCTGTGGGACTATGTCGGGCAGACCGAGACCGAGCTGTCCATCGGCAAGGGCGACACCTTCACCGTCATCGAGAAAGACGACGAAGGTAGCTTACAACCCGCCCACGCGTCAGCTCCTCGAAAGTGAATGAGCTCCTTGCGTTGGCCAATTATGGGCAAACTAATGTTCTTTTTGTTTGTTGGCCTGTTTCGCTCCTTGGCACACGCTGTGTGACACACAACGACAGACGTGTGGTGGAATGGAGTGTACATGTCGGCGGGCAGGGAGGTCAAGCGTGGCTGGTTCCCTGCGTCCTACGTCGAGGAGGTGACCAACACCGTGGTTCCCAAGCCCGCGCCGCAGCCAGTGGCCTTCTCGCCGCCGGTGGCCAGTACTATCCCACCTCCCTCTACTCAGTGACGTTAATTCGTCGTCGTGTCATCCCCACCAACGCGGTGCACCTGTGTGTCGCGTGCGTGTCGTGTGTGCGTGTGCGTGCGTGTGCGTGCGTGTATTTGTGCCGTGTGTGCGGCTCAGGTGCTGCGTCGCCAAGTGCGAGCGCGTATTCTGCCCCGTCGATGCCGGCGATGGGGGGTTATGGAGCGGCTCCCACGCGAACGACCATTCCGATCGCCCAGCCCCCCCAACAACCTGCGTTTACACTGCCGGTGTCGCCCCGAAGCGAGCCGCCTCCGCACAAGGAGATCAAAAAGGTGCGCGCAACTCAAACACCCCGCTTCCCTCCCCCATCGAGTCGCGCCGCCTCACCCTGACATGCGGTGAATAAAAAAAACAGGAAAAGATCGGTAAAGATACGTTCGCCTTCTTGGAGGTGCACGTCTTCGAATGCACCGGCCTGTTGCTCCCCAAGAAAGGTTGGTTGCCCGTCGTACAAATCAATTGTGCCCAACGGCGCGCCATGTGTGGGGTACTTAAGACAAGGGAACATACAGGAGCGTCGGTACAGATCGCCCTGAAGGAGTTCGGTAAGATCAGGAAGGTGTTCCAGACCGCCAACATCAAGAAGACCGTCGAGCCCACTTGGAATGAGAGCTTCCAGCTGTACGCCCTCACAACAGCTGTTGCAGTCTACCCGCGCTTTTGGCTCACGCTCACCTCCTCCTGAACCGAACAGCAACATTGTCGATCCGGAAGAGACAGATCTGGTCGTGTCGGTGCTGGACGGCAAGAAGGCCGTGGGCGAGATCGAGTTCCCGCTTCGCTCCTCCAAGCGCACCCAGTTCGAGGAGGTCGGCGGCTGGGGTACGTTACGTTGTGTTGTGCGCGCGCATTCAACACTGTTTCATTCCTCCTGCATTCCTCACCCTCCACATTCCTCATTTTTGCGGGTAAATGCGTACTGGCGTGTAGAGAACAAGTGGGCGCTGCAGGGCAAGGAGGCGCAGGGCACGCTGCACTTGACCATCAAGTACCGCGACGTCAACTCGATCTCCAAGCCGGCCCAGTTCGTCAAAGACCAATCGGTCACCTCCACCGGCGGCGCCATCATCACTTCCAACCTCAGGTCTCTCCCTCTCTAACGTCACATACCAACTCAACAACCAACCCCCCCCCGCCGCTCTCACTGATCGCCGCACTCGCGCAGTCCGGAGTGGGCCAAGGTGCTCAGCGCGGCCGAGCTCCCTCTCGACGGCGCCCGTCCCGCCGCAACGCCCCAGGTTTTACCCCCGCTGCTCCATGCGCACAGCTTAGCAACTTACCCTGGGGCCTGGTGTCGTTGTCGTTGTTGATGATGACGGGATCCGAAACCCAGCACCAGACTCCCGCTCCGGCGCCGGTGCTGGCCGCGCCAATCCACATCCCACAGACCACGCCCGTAGCTGCCGCCGCTGCAGGCTTCAACAAGCCTGTGCAGCCCGCAGCAGCCTTCAAGCCGCCTCCGCCTGCTGTACCCACCACCTCCATTTGCATGTGTTGATATCCCGACGTGATTGATTGCTCACTTTGGCGCTGGCGATTGCAGGGTCCTCGGCCTCCCGTGCTCGCAGCCCAGGGATCGCCTGCCGGCTCGCCGCAGCAGTTTCGGCCTCCGCCGCCGGCCGGGCCGCGACCCGCCCCACTCCCCGGGCGGGAGCCGCCGCCACCAGTTCGCCCGCGCTGGCCGTCCAACAGCAGCCGCGGCCGGTGCAGCAC